GCAGCTCACGAAGCAAAGGTGTTATATGGGTCCTTCTTTGGACCCCAAAAATAGCTCGTGCAATATGGGTGTGCAACTATTGTACAAGAGCTGCTCCTGTTGAAAAGTGGAGATATTTCTCTTTCAAAGGCTAGTGAAAGCAATGGCATCGTACAGGGAATGCCAAGATGCTTTCTTTTAAAGGGTACGCATTGTAACCTGCATAAAGGTTTATCTCATATAGTAGTTATTAATTGCCCCACCCTTGGATTTATTTATTTGTTTGTACTGCCTATGGTAGATATATATTTTTAGCAGTGGAAACTTGCCAAACAAACATTCACCACTAGGTTATAATTCCTTGCAGCCAAAATATACCAATCGATGTACAGCACAATCTCTAAGTTAAATATCACCCCCAAGGGAATAAGTGTGGTGTTAAAGCTGACATTTTTTCTTTAAAAGGGAAAAGTTGTATAAGCATCTTGGATATGGGTCTGGGATGGAAGGAAGGATCAGTTAATTCCTAGATTTCCAGAAATTGAATGAGGCCACTGGATGTTTTTAGCAAAAGAAAAGCCATGTTAATGCCCTCTTATGTCTTCCTATGTCTCACAGAAGTATCTGAGGGCTCGGTCCCCAATGGTGATTCCCAGAGCAGTGTGGATAGTTTGCGGAAGCACCTTCGTGCCGACACTTTCACACAACAGCAGCTGGAAGCATTAGATCGGGTCTTCGAGCGGCCTTCTTACCCTGATGTCTTTCAAGCATCAGAGCACATCAAATCTGAGCAGGTGGGACCCCTGTCTGGGAGAACAAAGCTGGTGGGATCCTGGCAACTGCAACAGATAATTGTTGGTTCACTTCTCTGCTCTTGTACTTGCCTTATGCTCTAGAAGGGTCTCCAATACAAATTTTAACAACCATTCCTTCCAGGGAAGAAGCAGTTGTGTGAGGGGCCAAATTCTTTAAAGAATTCTTAAAAAATGAAACTACCACTCCAAGGACTGGGGGTGGGGACTATGATGATTAAACTTGAATAAAGCTGATTTGTAATGTAAATGTGCCCTCTATTGTGCAAGGCTTGTGCAAAAAGTTGTTCACTTTTATATGGCATACAGCATATAAATTTGTAATTTTGACATGTTTTGGAAGTTCATGTAGAAAACAGTATCTTCAGCACTTACAAATCACTGATAGGCAAAGAGAAGGTATGGGAGTTTATAGCATGAGTGTTTGCACAAGTTGATATATTTATGTATCATTTGTTTTCCTGATTCTTTCCATGCATTTGTGCAAAACATATCTGCATGTGTACCATATCCCATGAGAGCACCTTAGAATTTCTTCTGCATTTCTTTTTTATTTGCTTTTCTTGTTGAAAGTGGTCAAGAAGAAGGTGGGGCTTTTTCCAGTTTCACATCACTCTGTAGCCTTCCTGGTTGGCTTTCCTAAGAGGAGCTCCCTCAGGATGTCTTCCTTTAGGCAGGGAGGCTGTAAATCTTTGGAGAGAGGATTGCATGATGAAAAGCAGAACACACAGAGCTCCTTGGCACCTTACCACCTAGGTAAGTGCTGGAAGCACTGAACTCCAACCAAAAACCTTTTGAATGGAGCTTGTTTTCCATCCAATCAAATAAGAATTGTTGAAAAAAGGGTAGAAGAAACGTTTGGCTCAGCAAAATTTTAAACCTCAAGAACTTTTACAGAGTATGCCAAAAGCCATCTACAATTCATGTCCACACACATATCTCTTTAGATACATACAGATTTAAAGTAAACCATTGCCGGCAAATATACCCACCTATCTACACTACTAAGTATTTCTACACAGACACAGCATCCATGTCATTGTTTAAGAATTTGAAAATACACCTAGGTATATATCCACAGAAATGTGCACCTGTGTGCTGTATTTTACTGTAAATAATCTATTACTTACCTGGGACACCAACATAAGTATGTGATGAGGTTGATTAAATTAGGTTGCTACACCTACAAGACAGTGTATTTGTCTTATACTGGTTTATCCAAGTACAAGGTCCAGCAGCAGATTCCACAGTTGTACAGAACTTAAAAAGAATGATCTTCTCAGTGACACTCTCCTCTCTCTGGAGCAGCTTGGCCCAAGGTCAGATGTGCCTTCTTGTAAAATGGTAAATACAGTGCACCAAAAGACAGCATTCAGATAGGAGGTCCTCCTAAAGGCAGCAGTAGTTTTTATTAACAATATTTAAAGGTTCTAATTGCTTATTGTTTTCATTATGTTTATGGATATGTAAATGTACAATGTATGGTTTATACATTGTAAGCCTCCTAGAGTCATGAGAATAGGGATATGGAAGGGAAGGAAAAGTTTGAAAACTGGTCCTTGAAATAAACTTTATATATATTTATGTATGCTGCTTTTCAAAGAGCATTTGCATGAAATGTTACAGTAAAGAAATGTTTAATACATTAGACTTCCTATACTCTATAACTTATCCATTTTTTAAATTTAAAAATTACCTTAGAATTGCACATCATACAGTTACTATAAGAGTCTCTTAATTCTCCTATTGTTCTTGTATATAACAATAAACAATGTGACTGATTAACTTGAAATAAAACTTACCATAAAGGAATAAACTTAAGCTTAAACTTTAAACTGAAAGGATGCTGAAGTTGAACTGAGTATATTATTTTGATTTAACAGTTTATAAAAAAAACTTCAGAGTTGTCTACTGAAGAGAATATCTTGTGCTTTCTCAAATGCTTGAATGAAGATGCCCTGATAACAGAAGAGAATCCAGGAAGGAATCCAGTAACACATACTATACTATAAACTTTTACCCTCCCTATTTTTTCTGTTCAGCCCAAGCCAGAAGGAATCAGGCCTTTTCCCATTGGTTGGTATCAAACCCAAGCTTTGCTCTGAAAAGGCCATCTGCATTTCTGTCTCCCCGACTTGCTGTTTATCTCCAAAGTGATTTGTCTTCACACAAAAATCAAAAGCTTTAAATCCCACCCAAAGCAGTAAACCAACTACTAAAGTCAAAGCTGGCTTTGGGTTTCTGCTATCCCTGAGTCCCTGAGTTTATTACAATGAATAACCTTTATTTACTTTCATTAGACTATTAAACACCAGCCCAGTCATTCTTCCCCCAGAAACTCTGAATGGGGCCCATAAAACAAATCCAAAGCCTAATTGAGTTCATTTTAATTTCTCTCCAATCACAGCGAATTACTCCAGTGATAAATCAGGGGCTAGCCTCACCCCCAACAGAAAGCCTAATTTGCAGCTAATTACAAAACTGATTTCTACAGAAAGATCAATACAAGAAGGAATTGGAAATGACTAGGCAATCGTGGCTGGCCAGGGAGGAGGGAAGCAGGAGGAAAGTAGCTCATAAGGAACTAGCATGAGAAGTAGGGACAGGGAAAAAAAAGACCACAAAGCAGAGAGAGAGAGAGAGAGCGAGCAGAAAATCAGTTTTAATTTAATGTAATATTAATCAGAACAACTTTTCCTGCTTTTTTAATTGTCTCTCTGGTTCCTGCGTCTGGTTTGGAGGCTACCACAATAAAAAGGCAATTACCAGTGCCTCTTGGACAGGACATCCTTTCAGATGCAATGAATTTTCCCCCTCCCATCCTTCTGTTAGCCATGTGGCCTGCCCCCACCCCAATTTCATACCCCAATGCACAAGGGTTGGGGAAAAAAGAAAAGAGGCTTTTAAAAAAAAAGATCCCAAGAGTGGGTTGGAGAATACTTTTCACATTGCAAACACTACAGATAACCTCTTCTGTTCAGACAAGAACTTTAATCCACCATATGAAGTCACCTTACATTCTGCAGAGAGAAAAATCAAGATTTTCACATTTTCTTTGAAAAAATAAGTCAGTTATCCAATCTGATATCCCATATTTTATCTAGGGTGGCTGCCTGCTGGGAACTCCAGATTAATCTGGCTCCTGAGGGAGGGAACTTGCATTCATAGGAAAGATGGCGGCTCTGGCCAAATCTCGCTCTTCATTTGCTTTCTTTGTCTCTTCTTTGCTTCCATCTGTGCAAGGACTGCATTGTACCTCTTCCCAACCTTAACTCCCCTCCATCTGCCTACTGTTCCCTTCCTTCCAGCCCATCAGTTAGAGAGCTTTCTTTTCTCTCCTCCCTAGGGTAATGAGTATTCCCTCCCAGCTCTGACCCCTGGTCTTGATGAAGTCAAGTCAAGTCTATCCACCTCTGCTAACCCAGACCTGGGGAACAACGTGTCAGGACCCCAGACATACCCTGTAGTGACTGGTAAGTGATATGCCCACTGGTGAGAGGCTATAGCTTTGCTTTATCATTATTCCCATTTTGCTTGATAAGCATGTTCCCAAAACAGAGAGGGAGGGAGGGAGGATGGATGGATGGACAAACAGTAGGGAGGGGGAAGGCAACATTGGAATCAATAACTTCCAGGTTTAAACCAACTGGCAAATCTGTTTCTCTGAAGCGTTTACTAAACCCACAAGTTGAATCTCCTGAGAAATGTTAAATTAAAATATTTAATTTAAGCACTTGAATGTTTTAAATATCGTTGATACCATCGTCAACCCACAATTAAATCAACACTGAATCAGAAGTCCAGTACAGAAGCTTATTCAAGGTATAGCTTATACAAACCAAAGTCTTAATCATCCATCAAAATATGGTAATCTGTGGACCTAAAACACTTCCCTGGGAAAAAGGCTCAGGAATTATAACTGAGAAAGCCATACTCTGTAGAGTGACTAGCTTTGTTTCAGATGGTAGAGCACTTGGATCCCTGTCTAATTTGATCTATGTAATAATAGTGGGAGGAGCTTTACTGGGATATATGTTCCCAAAGGTATTCATCTTACTTTACAATGGAATTTACATGAGTTTACATGAATTTTGGCCAAAAGTTTGCTAGTACTATATAGTGTTTTAATACAACTATGATGTGTTATTTAATGGTCAGTAGTAATTTATGAATTGAGCAACCTATTTTAAACTGGATACAAATTCTATATATTCTCAGAATGGCCTCTCAGTTTAGCTACAGAATGGAATGGCTGCTCCAATTTTTTTTTTAAATGTTTTATGAGCTAGAAGTATCATACATGGTTTATACGTAACTGTCACCAGCGTACCTAGAGCACATCTTCATAAATCCACTGACAGTTTCTCCAGATGGTTTCATATTGACTAAGGGCAATCAGACATGAATCAGGAATAGAGATTTTCACATGTTAGTATCATATATAACAGGGCAGGATTCAGTCAGAACAGCAACACCTGATATGTTAAAAATGAGTGACTTCTGGCATCCCTAGACATAATAGCCTTACTAAGAAATTATTAATAATTTATTTATTAATGATTAATTTAAAAGTCCTGTCCTTTTAATTACAAAGATAAGCATCTCCTGTTAGAAACAGAACAATCTTAAATGAGGTAGAACCTAGGTTTCTGCTAGCAATAGGCCACAAAAGTTACAATTTCCAGCATAGGGACCATCTCGAGAGGTTCCAATCTGCTCTGTCTCGATGCTGCAAAAAAGGGAGGGCAGGGCAGTTCAGGCATAGGCTGGATTTCCTTCTCCAAAACCCTACATTTTAGAAAATAAGGATTCAGGGGAGAATCCAATCCTTCATTAGAATAATTTCCCCATTGCTGTTTTCATTTGTCACTGGACTTAGTAGAAAAATGACCAATATGACTACCTTTCAGACTTGGAAAAAAGGCTGCGTATTTTTTAAGGATAATTTCCCAT